GAAGAAACACCTAGAGCAGGAGAAAAAGGGTGAACATTGTTGCATATAAAGATTTTTTTTACTTGCAGGCAGAAACTGGTCTTCTCCAGCTCACATATGTGGTCAAGGTGTGTGTGGCTGAGGGTTCTGCGTTTACAGGAATCGGGTTATGATGCACACATCACAGGTTGCAGCTGATTCTGTACTTTACATTGCAACAAACAAGATAGCTTAAAACTAAGCAACCATTAAAATAATAGATCAAAAGTTCTGAGATACTCACACAGAAAGCACCTCGACTCAGCTCTGCGTGCTAAAAGCCCAGGGGGAGAGAAAACAAAGTGCAATTTTTGTTTGTAATATTGGAAGAATAAATAAATAATCCACAGTAATTATAGTCAAAGGTAAACACTTCACAGCAACAGAGATGATGTCCAAGCAGAGGAATAGTAATGGAGTGGTGCATTATCTGGGTACTTCCATACATAGAGTCTGGATAAATGTGGCGAGTAGTGATTTTTCTCACAGAGCTACAACCAAAAGGTCTTTCTTTAAGTGTGGGAGCACAGTGAGAAGACAAGAAGTGGGGTCCAGGAAAATGATAGTTACTCTGGACTAATCCTGTCGTGTAATCATGTATACTATAAGTTTACTCAGTGTAGAGTTGATGCATACTCTTATCCATAACATAAAACTATCCCAGATCCAAAAAGTAAATATGTTTTTCAGACTTTACTGTAATGCTCATAGTTTGAATTATTTTCTTCCATGAATTACATCGTTTCCTTGTTACCCAGAAACGGATGTAGAGGCAGACTCAAAATCGCATCAGTGAGCTAACAATGTATAGTAAACATGAACAAATTGCTGTTGTACTGATAACAACGCCACACGGTTCAGCTAGTAGCACAAGGATTTCATTATTTGTGGCACCACGCTGAAAGCACTCAGCAGTTGGTCCATTCGTGACCTTGCAGCTGTAGCACTGGTAGCTGACGCCTTCCACCGTCTGAAGCAAGGACATGATGTAACTTCACAGCAGTTCCTGATAGGCAGAGTGGAACGTGAAATTTGAAGTTATTATATCTCAACAAATTAGTTTATTAACTGGAAATTTTTATATACCTACAATAAAATTTTAAGTTATTTTCTCAAAATGTTGACGTGTTAACTTGAAATTTCGAGTTATGGGTGGAAAAAAAGAAAAACGTTTCAGCAGCAGAAACAAGCTCGCATGCAAACTATTCCAAGTCAGCTGATTCAGTCAATGCAGCCTTTAACCTCCTAGCTTACCAAGATTTATAGAATCTCTAATTATTAAAAGAAAAGTAATCAAGTCTGGATTGTGAACTTACACCATTATCACTCACACAAATTCAGATGTGACGCGTGCATGTTCATATGCACGTTTTAACAGTCACCACAGGGTTTCAGTTTTAAGAATTAGTGTGTATAATGTAGACACACAGATAGTACAGAGGCATATTGGGACAACCTGCCCTTATTCTCAATCATCAACACAGCTTCCAAATTAAAACACTTTGTGACAGCACTAATGAAGGACAGAAGAAGTGCATGGAGAGGGAAAAGAGGAATTGAGTTTTAAGAAGAATATAAGGAGAAGAGACCGTGTGGATTTAAAAAGCCCAATCTGTGAGGATACGCTCTTATTACTAATGAGGGGCAGATGACAGCTAAATATCAGTAAAAACAAAGTGTGAGCGTCAAAATGTAACTAACCTACGAAGACGAATTGTTTTCACTGCGACTGCCTCAAAAACACCACGCACACAGCTGACTTAGAGACTGCCAGTCTGAGATATCTGGATTGGTTTGTGGGAAGAAAGTAGAAACCCCAGGATTGCCCCAAAAATGCAAGGGATGTTCTGCGGAACAAGGCAGTGACAACATCACCGTGCCACTGTGGAGCTGCGCAAAGGCAACCAGCAGTTTGAATTGATGGATGTGATTTTGTGTGCATGACACAGTGAAAGCACCATCTGTATTTTCTTCATCTGTGCAATGTGCGCGGCGCACGTCCAAATGTTTTGGATGGAATGAGATGGAGCGAAAACAAAAGGAACGACGGCCAAAAGAAAAGAAAGGAATTGTAATTCTTTTTGAATTGTTTGTGTTTTTTCTGAGCATCGGTTTTCGAGTTCACTTTAGCCTTTTTCAACCGAGCGTGAAACCCAACTTACCAATGAAGTAATAAGAAGAGAAAAGAAAAACCTTTCAAATTTAAAAACAAAAGTCCTTACCAAGCCTTACGAAATACATTTATTAACCCACCAAAATACTTTTCTTTTGCATTAATTCTACTAAAAATCAGTTGTTAATAATTGGAAATTTTAATTCTACCAGTTATTTGACATGTCAGATTTATACAGGAGCAAACAGCATTGCATCAAAAACAGTTGTTTAGAAGTGAGTGACAAACAGCCCTTTTGTTTCACTGACTTTTAAGGAAGACTTTTATTATAACATAAAATTATAAACAGGTTTGTATGTTATATGGCTGACACCCAGTTTTCATGTCACTGCTTAATTTTACAGTTTTGCATCCTTGTAATGGCGTCTTTTCGTGGTCAGGTCTGTCTTTATAAATGTTGAGCTCAAGAGGTTAAATAAAGTGAATAAATTAAAAATGTCTCTTTGATGCAGGGTTTATACTGAGTTGTGCAGAATAATTACATTGCACATAAAAAAGAACATTTTCACACTGTTATATGCAGTCCCATAGAAATCTAACTAAAGCCTTAGTCCTTTTATTGCTTCTATTGTAGTCTTAGTTTCCTGTTCTTAGCTTGTGGCAGCCTGTATGTTCCTCCGTTTCAAGGCTCCACATGTTGTGTGTTCAGACACATTCTTCTACATAACTTGGTTTCAACAAGCGGTTTTTTGAGTTACTGTTGCCTTCTTATCAGTTTGAAGCAGTCTGGCCATTCTCCTCAACGAGGCAGACTTGATATCCTTTCAGATCCTTCTCTGTAAAGATGTTTGTGCGGGAAAATCCCAGCAGGTCAGCAACCCATCCGCCACCAAAAACAAGCCATGTTCTAAGTCACTTAAATCTATTTTCTTCCTCATTCTGATGATCAGGTCGAGCAGGTCTTCTTGACCATGTGGCTCATTAGAGATTGTCTAGTGAGCACATATTAATACATATGAACTGGATTACTTGTTAAGTTAGAGATATATTTTTAATTTTTGGCAGGTGGGGCAGAAAGATTCTTTATGAATGCTAGTGTGACCACGAGAGTATGTTTCTTGGGGTTTGCTTCCTTTCTTCTTTTACTGCCTCTCTGCGTGCAGTTGTTTTTACTCTGATGTCCAACCAAGCTCTAAATCAACATCAGTGCTATATATTACAGAAAATGATTCCACCTTTAAGCTTATGCCAGAGATACTGAAGCTCCCCTCTCCTTTCCTGAACATTAAAACCACATTTTCTATCTAAGCTAAACCTTACCATAACAGCATGAGACAGCTATATGAGATCTATGGTTAAGTTTTAAACTGATATGTCATGATGTATTTTGAAATACCAAAACATTTGTTCGTTGTTATCAGACCCACTAAAGTTTCATTTAAAGTCCTCGGGTCTTTAAAAATAAATGACATTACACATGATGCATGTGTGTCCACAGCAGATAATGCATCAGATCAGTGCTGAAGAGCATTAAAAGCTTTCTCCTGTCTCTGTAAATATACGGCCGTTATCAAAGCAGCTAAACATCACTGAGAACATTTTACTGAAACCTGCCTGATGTGGACCATCAGCCAACAGAACCTCAGAGCATCAGGTCACAGAATACAGTAATTGTCCAAGACCAGAACATTTTACACACACATTAAGTAAATTATTAACAAATCTGGAAGGGTTAGCCAGTGGAGACCAACTGGGCAGGTGAATCAAGCTGTTTAGGTTTAAGACAGCCTGATGGGTTTCTAAGGTAGAAGACAAACTACTGTCTGATGAGTCACACTACAACATAAAAGTGTTCTTTTTTACTGTAGTGATTTCCAAACCGATCGTGTTAAAGGACACCTCAAAAAGCCTTTTTTTTAATTTTCACTTTAACCTCCTAGGACCTGGTGTCCACATATATGGACATCACATTTTGGGTTATTTAGACCAAAATACTGGATTTTGCTCTACAAGGGCCTGATATCCACTTATGAGGACATTATACTACTACTGTTCTATCACAATTTTAAATGAATATCCTCATATGTGGCTCTTATTTTTATTAAAAACAAAAATATGGTAAAAAAAAAAAAATCTGGTAATTCTTTGTTTTTACTTTCATCGGGCCCCAATATGACCAAATATCAAAGAGAAATTTAAAATGTATGCCGTGGAAGAGTTTGGATCTTAGGAGGTTAAACCAAACACAATCTGAAAGATGGAAAACAGTTCTGAAACATTTAGGAGTGCAAAACGTTATTAGATGTAAAAGCTTTTAGGTTCTGCTCTTTTTCCAATCACCAAGCTCAGATTTCTTCAAGTTTTATTTCTTCTATTGCAGTATTGTTTAGACACTTTTCACTAAAACAATGCTGACGTTTAGTAAGTGTCCTATAATGGAAATATTAACCTTTGCTTTGGATTCAGGAGTTGCAAAAACTGTTATTGGTTATTTTAGTGTGTTTTAAGATAAAAACATGATGACAACATTTTTATCTAAATAAAGCATCAAAATAAGCTTGATAAAGATTTAAAAGTATTCTCATCACCTTCAACACAGACTATGACTGAATAACTGGATTTATTTATAAATGTATAAATTATGATGAACAGGAGACAAAAAAATCCTTCCATTTACTTTAGCTGTCTAGTGTGTTATTCACTAAATATACTCATAAATATGTATATACATGCATATTTGTTAATAAATAGTTTTTCTTTTAATTATGATAAAAAATATGCATGTAGACAACTGATCTGAAATGCAGATGTGCCATGTGTGATATTTAATGTTTCATGTTGACTTGTTTTATATTTTTTTATCTGTCAGAAAGAAGACAGAATAAAAAAGGAGGACTTGGAAAGAAGAAGGAGCGAAAACGGCTACGACTGCACACCAGCGACAGCGTTGGCAACTCAAGAAACAGAACAACCACAGGGGAGCAAAGACATCATGGAGATCCCTGAGGGGGAGACAGACACGATGTAACATGGAACATATATGAAAATATGTCATAAATCCGTATCGTTTCCAAGCACCCAACTACAGAGGTCAGAAGCACAAATTGAGACTGAACTAAAAGTTCCTAAGAGGTCGTGCTTTTCACTAATGTATTAAAACTGTCCAAAGTAGCAGCTTGGTGCGAGGAAAACTCTCCGTTCATCAAGTAAAGCAACCATTAACCTGCCTCCTTGGACTGAATCCTCACAATTTTTTTTTTGCTAATTTCAAGCTTCCCATGCAGGAGCAGCAACATATGAACCATCTCTCAATCAGATTTTCAAATAATTATCTTTTAGTGATTTTATAGCCACAGATTTTTATACAGCTACATTTTCTCTGGTCATTTCATCAGTTTAGCAGAAATTTCAAGTTACAGTTATATAATTAATATTGAGTGCAGATTTAATTTTAGAGGTTGAAGTAAAATACCATATTAACAGGTTAGGAATTACAGATGACCTATTTTATGTAGGTTTAAGTTTCATGTACAGTTTTGACTTTTCTTCAGTATTTATTAATAAATTAAGGGGCTTAAATATAAATCACACCCTACCCCAAACCCCTCCCCCCCCAACATAACTCAGAAGCTTAAAGTCCTGGTCATGCATAGAAAGGAGCAGTGGCTGGTGAGCAAAGGATTATTAAATAGTAAAGACAAACAGCATCCAGCTAAGTAAAGAACACCCTCCAGGAAGTGGGCAAATCATCATCCAAGCACAAAGAGAAGATTACATGAGAGAAATAACCAGAAACTACCCATCAGCCCCAAGAAGAGACAGACGACAAAAGCCAGAGCATCTCTAGTACAGACAGACCGGACAGAAACTTGGATTAAATTGTACTGCAAAAATATTCAGTTCAATTTTATTTATATGAAATTTGTGAAGAAAAGAGCACGTCAAACGCTTGGAATGGCTCATAAGTGTACCTGCTATATAATCTGCAAAACACTGTGGAGGAAAGAAAGGTGTGCTTTTGCTTCCCGTGGTCATCAGTATTTACTGAACTCTGGTGTGTGTAGAGCAGTACTTTCTACTCATATTTAGCCAAATGCAGCAGAAGCAACCCAGACGTTTCTGAAGCTCACAAAGTAAAAACTGAAGACAGATGTTATAAAAGCTAAAAGCATGACATAAATATCATAAAGAGGCTTTTTAAAAAAAGCGATGCCCATTATTTCCAGAGTTTAGGCTATCATTGCCTACAAATTATTTACTTTACATGCATTTGAGCTCCTGAAGACTGTGTATAAAGTGTCTGTTATTCATTATCATGATAAAACTAATATAACTGTAACTTGAATACGTTTAAGAAAATAGCTACGATAACCACAACAAAGCTGTCAGTATCCAACAGAAAATAATGTTAGCAAGAGCACAAATTGTTCTTTGCTTCTTCTTTTTCTTCTGCAGTTTCTAAAGTTGCTATTCCAGTGAACCTAAAAATGATAAGACTTGCTTTATTTATTCCAGCAGTTGGGAAATTACTGTCACAGGAGCCTGAACATGAAAACCAAACTATCTCTATAAAATAAAAAAAAAGCTTTAGAAGTCCCACATATTCAAGCTTGTTACTACAGAGTTTAACTTCACACTATGTATTTAAATCACAGTGATGGAAGTTATGAGTTAAGAATTTTATTTAGTTATATGCCAGCTTCTTTCTTTTATTTTCCCCCAACTTGTCTGATATGCACAAGTATACCTTGGTATGCATAGTTGGTGTAGCAAGATTGAATATGTGGGTATTTCTTCTTTTTTTTCTTCTTTTTTTCCCCAGAGCTGATAAATGGCTTTGTCTTTTAACAGCTTGCTTGCAAGTATTTATCAATATTTCAAGGACAAAGTGGTATTTTTTTTTATCCACAGCACGAGCGTACATTTCAATAAATGTTCATTTTGATGCGGCATCCATTGTGCAGTTTTAAATGGAGTTGATCTGTTTGAGTGAGATCTTTTGTCCACTGAAAGTATCTAATAGAAATCATCATGTTATTGTTCACCTTTAACACAGACTGAAGTCTTTTTGTCTACAGGAACAGTTCTCCAGGCTTCTTGAAGGACATTCAGAGCTCTTCTCTGGATGTTGGCCACCTTTTTCCTTCCATTCTCTGTTGAGATGATCAAAAAGTGCTTAAATAATGTTAAGGTCCAGGCTTTGGGGAGGCCAATCCATGACTGATGGTGTTCCATTATCTGTTCTGCTGTGTGATTGAGACTGAAATAAGAAACTGTTGCCTTCCAGATGGTACTGCATATTGGATCAGACAGTACTTCTCTGTGACAAGATCCCAAACACTCCTGGCTGCCATGCAACCCAAACCGTGACAGAGCCTCCACCGTGTTTTAAAGATGGCACTCACTTTTATAACTCTCTCCTGATGTCCTACATAAATGTTGAACTAAAAGTTTCCACTTTGGACTCCTCAGTCTCCATAAGACCTGTTGCCACTGATTTTCAGTCCAGTTCTAGTGTAACCTCAGCCTTTTCTTCCTGCTTTTTCCTTAAGTGTTGCTTCTCAGCAGCCAATTTTCCACTTAGACCATGAAGGGCCAGATAAATCTTTCAGGTCCTGTGTCAGGTCATTTTTCCAGAATATGACTTCCAGATAGTGTTCATCTGCTGTAAATATTTTTAAGGGTTTTTACTAATACCCAAAGTCACAATGTCAAAATGTTGTTTTCCTGATTGCATATTTGTTTCTATATCAGTCTAAGTACTTCTCACTATTGAATCCTTTAGATATGACCTAATTTTAAAGAAGTGGAAGGTCTTCCCTTACACAACACCAGCAGAAAACATATTTTCACATTGCTGCTAACCAATAAAACAGCATTACAAGGCCAATGCATCTTTCCGAGTACACAATGTGCAGAAAGCTGCACATTGTGTACCTATAAACTAAAAAAGAAAAGCAAAAACATCAGAATTACATAAGGATATCAGCTAAAATATCCATGTTTGGTTAATTACTCTCCACGGACAACAGAAAGTTGAAAGTCATCTTTTATTGCACAATAAAAGATCACACATACCATGTTTTGACTCATGAGATTGGTCCACATGGGAATACAGAGTTATACTGACAAAGAAAAAAAAAGAAGAAAATAAAAGATAAAACCCCACCACATAACTTATTTATTAATGACCGGGTTTCTGACTTCAGGATCAGCCAGTGAATCACAGCCTGGTGAATTACGTTGCTCTTGGTTCAGCAGTGCTTGGAGAGGGCCTGCGAACAGTCAAATATTCAACTTGCCCCGGGTTCTGGAGGACAGGTTCACAGACATGAACTGGACAAAGGTGGTGAAGTTTTTAGATCCAGTCTAAAGATTTATTTTACAGTTGCCTTTCACCATTTGTCATCATTATACCTAAGCTGCAGTTATGCTATTTTTAAATCTCATGGTCGCTTCAAACTTTAAATGACACTTTCCCTTCGGTAAGACGGTGCAACGAGCTAAAAGCAAATTCAAGAAAAACATAGCTGTTAATTCAAAGATAAATTACGATCAGATGTTCCTGTCACTTTTGACATAAACCCGTGTTGATGACTTCTAGTAGTACGAGCGTATATCAAAAGGTAACAGCTTTTCCACCACATTAATGTCTGAAGTTGACAAAGGAGAAGAAAATAATTGCTGGGGCAATAATTCACGTTTTGTCTTCTGCCAAGAAAACATTTTAGTGTCTGTGAAATTCGATTGCAATGAACTGGAAAAAACACATATGGAGACTGATATTTTTCAGCTTTTGTAATGACTGGCTTGACAAATAAAATAAGTTCTAATGTTTTTATTTTTATGGATTGTTTTCAGGGGTTCTTTAACTTCTGAGGCTGCGTATCAGGGGTGCTCTTCTAATAAGCCACATAGGAGGCCTGAACTATGGAAATGAATATTCATCATTCCCTAATGTAACCTTGAACACTGTCAAATAACACAAAGGCTTCATAACCTGTTAGTTTGAGCCTATCAGGATGGAGAAAGAAACAAATATATAACATCCTTAACCGGATTTAGTGCGATATATTTGCATGATGTTGTAGATATTTTCAATCAGAGTTTTAACTTTGCAGTTTGAACTTTAAATGCATGATTAACACGTCATGAATCTGACAGACTCTTCAGGTACTTGACTTGTTTGAACTGCAGATTCCCTAAAATGTCAGCTTCAAAACCTGCTAGTTTTCAGTCATCTTCTCGTTTTAGAGGAAAAAATAAAAACAGGTTTTTGAGTATGCTACTGTACTGCAGCTTTAGAAAGGATCCTGCATCTGCAGACTGTACCAAAGGGTGGCTCACGCTGGATTACCGTGGGGACTATGAAAATAAAATAAAGAGGAAGTATTCTAAGAACTCTTAACCATTTAATTTTGATGTAATTACATCTAAAAAAAAAAAAAAAAAAAAGAAGAAGAAAAATTAAAAAACAGAGCATGTGACATTACTAGATACTTTAAATTCCACGTGAACCAAAATGCTTTTGTTTTTGAGAGAACTTAACAAAACCAGCCACTGGTCAGTCATGAGACAACAACGTAAAGACGAGAACTGTACAATAAATACATTTTTTTTATGATAAGAGATAAACGTTTACATTTTTGAGGTGACTGTTTTGAAGAACATTTAAGTTAACCAACGAGAACTTCAATGAAAAGAAAAACACTGTTAAAGAAGGCATGGTGTGACACGAAGAGACAATACAGAGCCATCGCCAGTCGACTTGATTAACCCCCCCTGCCCCCGAGCTGTGGTTACATACTGCACCTGCAAGTTTGTTTCAAGTTTTTGCACAAGAATAAGCCATTAACAGCAAATGATGTGCACACATGCCCTCTGGAACGCAACGCTTGCCCGTTCCTTTGAGATAAATCATCTGTGGTGCAAAGCGACTGGCTTCTCCTTCTGATTTGCTCTTTCGGGAATCTCGAACAACACACGACAACAATCAAATACTTAGG